CCGCCGCCGCCTCAGGCGAGGGAGGATCTCGGCCTCGGGTGCAGGATGCACCGCCTACGGCGCCCGGGGAGGACCAAACCACACCTGGCACCGGGGCCCGCCCGCCCCCAGAACACTGCTCCGCCCCCTGGCACGGTCTCTGCATCGACCCTGACGCCCTCTAGCGTAAGGAGCGCCCTCCGTGGGTGCTGTAAAGAGTGATCCTGCGCAGGCTGGAGGTCTCAATACTGAAGGCCTCTGGTTTTTTTTTTTTTAGATGCAGACTCAAATAGCGACCTCATGTGAGAGTAGAACTGCCCCAAAGGGTTTTCTTGGCTATAATCTTTACAGAAGCAGATCGCCAGGTCTTTCTCCTGCGGAGCCTCTCAGGGAGTTCCAAACGCCAACCTTTTGGTTAGCAGCTGAGCGCCTAATGGTAGTGCCCATGATTTCACAGATGGGAAAACCGAAGAGGAAAGTTAGACTGCCTCAAAAAATGGCTCAGTTCATTTGGAGCACAGCTGGGTTGGGAAACCAGGTCACCTGACCCCCAGTCAAAGCTCTTTCCAGTACAGTTTGGAATCAGGACTATGAATATGGAGTAGCTTTGGAGGACTGAGGGTAGATTCTTAGGAGCTTCCAACTCAGAGAGGCCACTTCTCTGAGCCACTGTGAAAAAGTTGGCACTGAGTTAAGGTGGTATGGAGGTACCGCAACCAGTATTCCAGATCCTTTGCTGGGCCAATTAAGTATATAAATGAGCCCAGCAAAATGGAACATGCATGCCCCATTGGAAGAAGGGCAGGCCCCCTCCTGCAATGCTGGCCTGCTATTACCAGGCCTCCCGATGTTCAAGACAAGCTAAAAATCCACAATTAGGTGAATTCTCCCACTTTTTAAAATGTTGGTAACATTAAAAGATATTTTTTAAATGCCATGTAGGCCAAACCACACCTGTAAACTGAACATGCTCTATGGGCTGCCAGTTTAGGATGTGGAGGAGTCCCTGGGTGGTGCAAATTGTTAAGTGCTCGACTACTAACTGAAAGGTTGGTGGTTCAAACCTACCCACCCAGAGGCACCTCGGAAGAAAGCCCTGGTGACCTGCTTCCAAAATGTCACAGCCTTGAAAACCCTGTGGAGTGCAGTTCTACTCTGCCACACATGGGGTCACCATCAGTTGGAGTCAACTCGATGGCAACTAGTTTTTGGTTTGGTATGTGGAAAAGAGAGCAGTGGATGAGGAGTTAGGACAGCAGACAGCTGGGTTCTAGCAGCTGCTAGCTGGCTCAGCAGCCTTGGAAGGGCTTGAGGGAGGGTCCTTCATGTGGCTAAGTGTTGTCCATGTCAGCTGATCCCTGAGGTCCCTCCAATCTGATTGTGTTGTGCTGGGTCTTTGGCAACTGTCACTTCCCTAGGTCAGATTCAGGTCATGGGAAAAGGGTCCAAATGCCCAGTAAGGGAAGGCCCAGAGCCCAGGGAAATGGATCTGGCCGCCTCAACCAAGGACAAAGTTCAACCCAGCAGTCTCACCACTGGGGTAAGCAACAGTGAGCACAATTCTCTTTCTTCCTGCCTTGACCATCTAGTCCAAACCGGATGCTGGCCAGATTTGTCTCTTCTGGGTGTGGAAAGTTGCTCTGACATCCTGAGTATGCAGAACATACTGGGGGCTGTGCTTGACTTTCGTTAACTCCTGGGATCCCTCTTCAGCAGGTTTCATTTCCAAGGAATCTCTAATTATAGATGGTATGCTGAATTAAAGTGATAAGAAGCCAGAGATTCTCCTGACAAGACACCTCATGCTAGGAAGAAGGGGGCATGGATTTTACTCATCCTGTACATGGAAAGAGATTACACTGTATTTCCCAGATATCCAGGTACTCAGCAGCCTTGGGGCAAGGCCTGTCAGTCTCTTCCCTCTCCCTCCACCCCACAGCAAAGCAGCCAGGGCATCCTGAGAAATGCAAGTTGAAATGGAAAAGAACAGCCGTCTGTAGAAAGGATAAAACCAAGAGCTCTTTCCAATATGGACACAAGAACACTCCAAAATCCCCTGTGAATTTGAGGGGGACTTCTGGAGGGCAGAAAAGGCCTGGGCAAGTAGAGGAGCTACGGGGGGTTTCTAGTACTCAAGTCACCTGTTCACAATTTACCTGACCATGGCTTGGTCAGTTGCTGAGGCCAGATCCTGCTGGCTGACCCTCAATCAACCCTCTGAGCCTACAGAAATGAGGACTGGGATCCTGAAAAGCAAATCAAGGTTCTGCCATCGTGAGGGTCCTTGTCTATACGTGTCTGGCCAGACTTTCCAAGGGTCATTCCCACTTGCTTCAAACTGAGCCAGTCTCGGGCCTCCAGTCTCTCCTCTCCCTGAATCATCTCATCTAAGATGGCCTGATTAATCTCCCAAAAGTATGTTTCTGCCACCTCCCTGCTCAAAAACCTTCAATAGCTCCCCATTGCCTAAAAAATAAAGGCCAAAGTACATCTACATCTCAGCCTTACTTCCCTACTCCATCCACTCCAATACTCTGCTTCTTCCTGAACATTTTCTACCCATGCGCCACCCTGCCATTCCTACAACCACCAGCCCATGTTCTCTGCAATTCTGCTGCCTCACTCTGCGCAGAAGTGCAGTCTTGCTTCTGAACTCTTATTTCCAGTATCATTTTGTAACCCCCATAAATTAATCTTAACCTGTATTGTCCAATAAAACAGCCATTAGCCACATGTGGTTATTTCATGTATAAGTAAAAATTCAGTTCCTCAGTCCATTAGCCACATTTCATATGCTCGAGAGCCACATGTGACTAGCGGCTACTGTGTTGGACAGTACAGATATAGTACACTTCCATCATTGCAGAAAATTCTATTGGACGGTGCTGCTCTAGATAATGATTAATGGCTGCTAACATCAGAGACTACCAGACATTACATGCCTCTAGATATGATGCAACAGGAAGTAAATGCCATCATTTATGACAGTCTTCAAAAAAAAATCAAATCTCAATCTGGTCAAACGTCTGGGTCGAACAACCACTCTGCAGGAAATACAGCGTAAGAGGAGCTTGTGAAATAACACTACGGTAATGCAAATAGCAAAACTGAGACTGTGGGAAACTCAAGAAAAATGACCCGGTTTCCTTACAAGTTTAAACTGCAAGGAAAAGAAAAGAGAAACCAGAAAGAAAACAGGAATCTACAGATGGAAGAGACTTGAGCAATACCAATATATTGATCTGATTTGGATCTCAATTTAAACAAACTGTACAAAAAACTGAAACAACCAGAAACATTTAACAAGGATTACATATATGATTGTTAACTAGCTATTATTAATTTTTAAGATACATAAAATGGTATTTTGGTTGTATTGAAAAAAATCCTTGAGATGCTTATCAAAATACTTATAAAAGACATGATGACTGGGATTTACTTCAAAATATCCATGGCAGGGGGAAAAGGAAGAGCATGGGGATGGTGGAGATAAGACTGGATGGTTACTGGGGTAGAGTGATGGGTACTTGGAGGCTTTACTGTCCTCGTGGACTTCTGTGTATGTTTTATTAGGCTTCCGAGTTCCCCGAGGACATGTACTGCCTCCTTACCTTTGCATTCCCCACTATACCTTGACTCTATCCAACTGTTAGGTTGCAGTCCAAGAGGGAGACAAGGACTCCTTTCAGAGGGATGACCCATGGCTCTGGCGTCAGGGAGACCAAGGCTGGGACAGGTTTGTAAGCCCATCAACACCTTCCATCTTGCACCACACCCTGCTATGAGGAACCTCCCTGAGGGGCACGCCCCCTCCTCCAGGGGAAGGGTTTGGCTGGGATCCACCTGCCTTGTCACTGAACAGGGACAGATGCTGACACTGAATTAACTTACGAATGTCCTTAAGGCTCTGATCAGCCACAAGCTAAGCTCCATCGTGGAAGCTTATTGCTTGCAAGCTTATGAATTCTATGCACTTGTCAGGACCAGGGCTGCCTGTCAGATAGGCCACACCTTGGGCAGGGCTTGCATAAAGCCAGGCTTCCAGCCCACGCTTCTTGTCTTTAATTACCCACGGCTGTCTGAGGCTTTCCTCCTCAGTGTGGCATTACCAAGGACTCACAGGTGCTTCCCAGAGGCCAGACCAGTGTGTGATTATCCCCACCCACTACGACACAGATAAGAAGTCTACAGCTCAAAATAATATAAAACCATTTGTTTAATTCTAAATCAAACCACTTTCACAACAGTGAAAATTAGTGACTGATCAAGATGTGCCACTGTACACAGTGTCATTGTCTGACTGTGGTCAGGACCTGGTCTAGTGGATGGGGTGGTGAGAGGTGGGGTGGGGTGGAGGCTGCAAAAACAGAAAACACACACAGAAGGAAGGAAAACCACCTTGGCAGAAGGGCAAGGTGGTGATCCTGCAGCGTGGTGGGAAGGGGAATCCCTGCTGGGGCTAGCTCAGCAGTCCCAAGTCAGTTCTCTTGCCCAGCTCCTGGCGAAGGATGAGTGGGGACCTATAAGGTTTAAATCCAAAGGGCACATTTTTAACCTGGCTTTGCTAAGAGGTTCCCGGGATGCTTTTGCTGGTGGAGCTCTCCTGGGCTCACTCCATTTTGAGAGAGTCTTCCTACACACAACTTTCTTCTAGAAACCATTTCTGTTGGGCCCATCTGACTGAAGTTCTCTCTCCCACCACCAGGTGGGGCCACTGCACCGAGAGAGCCCACCAATCCTCTCTGGAACTCCAGGGGCTCTTCCGACTTCAGGGGTTTCTGAAAGTGATAAAAAGGGCACTGGAGTGGGTAACCCAAGAATATTTAAAATCCCTCAGGCACACAGTAAAGCTGGCAGCTTATTCCTACAGAATGGATTCGGCAATCGAACCACCTACTCAATACTTGTATTTTGTTTAAACACTGAACTCTGGTGTTGACAGGCGCATGGGGGGAGGGGCTGGGGCTGTGGAGAGGGGAGGAGGGCTTCCCTCATCTTCTTCCAGGTCTTGGTTTCCCCGCATTATGCAGAGCCACCCTGGGTAAAAGCAATACGTGGGGCTTTTGCCACTTTTTGGCTATTGCAGGGGTGAGGCAAGAGCGGCCTGGACTGACAAAAGAGAGGGCGAAGCCTCCACAGGAAGTCTAACCTCCTACCCTCGGGGACTCCAGGAAGAGGCTGGCTTTTCAGGAGGCCTGGTAAGCAGAGTGAGAGCCATTCCACCAGGTGAAGGGTCCTCCTGGCCTGGCACTACACACCCTCATCAGATTCAGAGGAAGCAGATTGTAAAATCAAAAAGCAAATCAAGGGCTTGGGAAGAACAATTTCCCCTAGAGGCAAACGACGGAATCCACATCATATTATCATTGGTGGCCCCCCCAGGCCTCACTGCCTGGCTTCAGCAATCATAGGGACTGCTGGCTCTGGGGTCACATGCTTCCCGAGGGGTTTGCAGGGGGAATCCATCAAGCCATTCCAAAATCAGGCTCCTGGCAGCTCTCCCCCTCCCTGCCTCTTCATAAAGGGCTTCTAAGGAGTGTGGTCTTCAACATGCAGCTGGGCCATCTTGACAAAGCCCCAGCTTCCTGTGGGTGGGTACTGGGAGAGAAGGCACTGAGCTTCTGCAGCCTCAGCTCAGGGCTGCTGGTTCAGTTACTCTGGATCCCACTGCAACTCTCTCCTAGCATAGCAGTCAGTCTCAGCCTCAGCAGTGGCCTAAGCTGTATGCCCACTGGAAGACAGGCAGATGTGAGTAGTTTTGGGGGTAAAGCCGATGGAAATCTATCAGTGAAGCCGCATGTCCCGTGAGGATAATCCACACCAGGAATCCAGGAGGCCATTCAAGCTGCTCTCTAGGGCCAAAGACACTGAGCACAGCCCAGAGCCAGTGAAACATCTTTGGGTCTCTGGTGAATTCATGAACAGATGGGACAAACCCCAGGTTCAGCTGCTGCAATCATGATCTTTATGGGACAGCAAATTCTTGCTGCTCTGCCGAGGAGAAGGAAAAGGAGGCAGGAAGAGGGCAGAGCAGCACTAGGATCAGGAAAGGAGCCTCTCTGCGTAAGGAGGCCCACTGGCTTCAGAGGCCACTTACCAAGGGGTATTTAAAGAGATAAAAGAAAGTTTCCATAAATACCATTTGGCTCGTCCCTTTGTTTTTGAAATATTAGACTCAGGTGAGATTGTACTCTGAGACAGTTTCTCTTTTGCCATCTCTTCTCTGTGCAGAGTCAGGACCCGCTGAGCTGGCTGGCACAGGATTGCATGGTGTCACCTATGAGAGGGGATGAACGCCAAGGCCTGAGGTTACAGCAGGGTGTTCACAATAGTGGCCACACTCGGGGTCCTCACCAACTGGTCCTGAGTTCCAAAGCTCTGATGGAGAAGCAAGACTCCTTGAGGTGTTACTGGCCCCACTGATTCCAGGGGTCAAGATTAGCCAGGAAGTCAAACACCGGGGTGGGGGGGGGGGCGGGTGTGTCACCAGTCCAGAGGCCCTGCCGTGGATGCAGGCCAGGGGCCCAGCATTAGGCAATCAAGAGCCAGAACATGATCACCAGGGCAACAAACAGGAAGAGGCGTGACAGGAACTGCTCGTCCACATACTGGGGTGTCCCAGGCACAGCTGGAGAGAAAGAAGGGAGAAGAGGGGTTGTCAGAATGCTCCAGCTGTACACCCCCCCTCCCCTTTTGACCCAGGAGTCAAGAGCATTGGCATTCACCTCTTAACAACAGAATCCTGAGACTGAAAAAAGTTTCTAACTGCAAATATATCAGGCAAAACAAAAATGTAACAATGTAACAATGAGGACAAGGTCTCCAATTCATCCTAAAAGGGTTGGGCCTGCAGATGCAAATAAGACAAGCGACTAATAGAAAGCTCCTGGGGAAAATAAGAGAAAAGCTACTGTTTGTTAAGCATCTTCTATGTGCTGTGTTCTGTACACATTACAACTTGATGGATAGTATTATTCCTGTTGTGCGTATAAAGCAGCACAGGGGTTTATGAGGTGACCACGAGGTTCACAAGGTAGTGGCAGAGCTCCACAGCTGTGCTCTCAGCCACTCTCAGGTCAACGCTGCCTCCCAAATCACAGAGTTACTAGGTTCTGGCACTAAGCCAGGAGGGCCTCAGAGAGCCCTGCAGGGAGTACCTTCCTTTCCCAGAGGAGAGAAATGGGGCCCAGACAGGCAAAGTGACCTGTCTCTCCTATCACACAGCAAACTATAAGCAGAACTGGGGCAAAAACTTGGGTCTCCACTCCTGTGTTTTGAGAACAGCTACCATTTACAAATCCCTGTCCTGACTTTGGAGGAAGGAAGGTAAGAGAATCTACATCCAAGATGTGGAAACTGTACCAAACATGACAGGAGCAAATGCTTTGTGATTGTTGTAAGGGGACAGAGTGATCCAGAGTCCAGCCTGGCTGTGGAGCTCTGTTTAACTTGGGAACCCAGGTTCGAGGGAAGCAGGGTACCAGGCAAATTCCTGCTGCCTCCATAGGGTTCCATCCTTCCCTCAGAACAGAGCATGCCCTGCCCTTTGGGGTCTCCTTCCTCTGAGAATACCACCTGTGAACCAAGCAGAAATTTTCAAGGTTGGTAAGGTGAGGAGGGACATTCCCAAGAACACTTAGTGCTGCATTAGATTCATCGGCTGGGTGCTCTGATAGATTCATGCAGGAAATTAGCCACAGAGACGTATCAATTGCCTGTTATGTGTCGAGTACCAGGGTGGGGCAGGGAACAACTGGGAAGACCCAGGAGTGGATTACTGTCTCAGGATGACCCAGGAGTGGATTATAGTCATGCTCCAGCTGTAACGTCCAGAATGTAATGTCCACGATACATTCTGTGAAACAGGACAGTATGTGATTTGAATGTTGAGTGAGAACTGAGGTCTGTGGGGCATGGGGCTCCCGGGTGCACAGGCCTGGGGCCTGCTGTGCTGCGCATGGCCCGGGAAGCTCCTGCTGTGGGTGCCTCAAGTGAGTGTTTGGCTGGGTCATGCTCAGTGCGCGGCCCCACAGCCCCATGAAGGTCACAATGGGGAGGCTCCAGGTGTGGGCCAGGGAAGCAGGGCAGTAGTCTCGGTGACCTGGCACCCTTGCCCCTGCTGGGCCCTGCGATGCCTGTGGCAGGGCAAACCTGCTGCCAAGCTGGGCTGTGGGCATCCCTCAAAGGACGCGTGCTGGACCATGGGCTCAGGAACCACACACTAGTCATTTCTGTGCCTGCACTGTGCCCAGAGCACACGAGGGTCCACTGAGTGTGAGCAGAGCTCACTCGACTGTGGCATCTCTGCAGGCTCCATGGAAAGGATCTGGCCTGGGCGTCAGACTGTGACAGAGTATAGGGCACCCGCCTCACCACCCTGCTCTACACCCATGCAGCTGGCACTCGCAAGCTGGCTGGAGGAAGAAACTCAGCAGTGGGTGTCACACCTAGACAGGGTTCTCAAAGGACTGAGGCTTGGAACCGGCCCCACACTTCCTGTGGAAAGCTGCCAGAGATGCCAGAGAACAGAGAGGCCCTGACTCCTTACAGGTTGCCCCACCCCTCCCCATCCCAAAGTGTCAAAGTGGGGGTGTGTGTGCAGGACTAAGGACTAAACTGTTCCTCAACTGGGTATCATTTATAATTTTCCATTTTATGGATAGAGAGTATGTCTCGGCAAACACGACCGAGCGTTTTCTGAATATAAAATCAAGCTGACCGCACATGTGTCCCCCTGGGTTGTTGTGAGGATTCCGAGTTTATAACGGAAAGCCCTCTGTACAATGCTCAGTATCACTGGCATGACTACCAGCAATCTGAAAGGAGTTTAGCATATTTGAAGGACTGATTCTCTGTGTAGTGACAATTATCAATAACATATAATGCTGAACCCCAAGGAACCTTCAAGTATGATTACAAGATATTGTCCTGATTTCTCCAGGAGATAGAGTCCTACCTGGAGGAGGCCGTCCATCATTTATGTTAAATGCTGTGGCAAATATCCCAAAGGGAAATGCCCCAATTCCAAAAGACATCTGGAAGCCACCATCTCCAAATCCGAATCCTTGAAATCCCTGTGTGGAAGAAACCAAGTGAGAAGAGGAGAAGCAAACAGGCTCCTCCTGTGCCTGTCAAACATGGCCTTCACATGAGGGACTTAGACACACAGTGCCCACTTTTCCTCCCTGCTCCGCCATCTGTTTCCAAGGGGGTACATCTTTCCCTCCCATCTAGATCCCAAAGCAGAACAACTCTGGAGGCCCCTCTGTCCTTCCAACCTTGGGTCCCAGCTAAAGAGTTGTAAATGGGCCAAAAAGGGCTGGCTCTGACCCAAAGTCAAACACCTGCTGACACATTCAGGGTTCTTAGATCTTGAAGTTCTTTCCCAGAGTCCCATACTAGCCCGTAAATCTTCCACGTTTTATAACAGTAAAAAATCGGCAATAATCCACGTGCCCAAATACAAGGGAATATCAAAACAAACTACATATTATCTATAATAGCAAAAAAGTGGAACCCTAATTAGCCAACAATAAAAGTCATAATCAAAACCTTGATACATTCTCTCAAAGGACCATTATGATGACTATGCAGCAACACAGAAAAACTCTTGTGACAAAGTTATCAGACAAAACTGTCTGAACACCACAGTCACAGGTACATGACAATATGCAGGTATGTGAATACCATGGTCACAAGTACATAACAATATGTAGGTATGTGGATACCAGGGTCACAAGCACATGACATCATGTAGGTATGTGGATACCATGGTCACATGTACAGGATAATATGTAGGTATGTGGATACCACGGTCACAAGCACATGACATCATGTAGATATGTGGATACCATGGTCACATGTACAGGACAATATGTAGGTATGCGGACAAGATATGCATATGTTTTTTACCCTCAAAAATTTTTTACTATTGTTACATACAATTTTTAAAATCTGAGCTTTCATTTTTTTCTCATTACAAAAGTAATGTGTGCTTGTTATAAGAAATTCACATATGACAGAAATAACTGAGGTAGAAATCAGAGGTCTCCTTGTTTACCCTGCCATGTCACACCCACCCCACACAATAACCACCATCAGCAGTCTGGCCCACTGTCCTCAGCATTTCTTTCCTTTCCATCTTCTATGCTGGACCATCTTTCACATGAAAAGATTCAGTAGGAATAGTGATATTGTAAGTATCATTTTGAAAGTGCCAAATGTGCACCAGGCATTGTGCTAAGCACTGGGATACACAAATCACATTTAATTCTTACATTAGCATCATGCGCATTTTACAGATGACCAAACTGGGGCTCAGAGAGGTGGAATAACTTGACCAAGTTTGCACACCTAGTTTTAGCTAGATCTAAAACTAGGTCAATCTGATCCGAAAATCCAGCTCTTAACTACTGTACACATCTTTTTAAAAAACTTCTCCCCTTCCTAGATTCTTAAAGAAAATAATTAAAAACTAATAAAAAGAAGAAAAATTATTGGGAAACTGCTCTCCTCAGAGAGCTGAATGACCTTCATTTGTGAGTCTTTTACAAGTCATGGAAGTCACCACCCCCTGGCCCATACTGAGTAGCCTGGCATCTAGCTTCCAACTTCCTGCTGCACTACCTATAAAGCTTAACAGCTGATTTAATAAGAGGGCAAGCCTACAGGGAAGGAAAACAACTCGTTTCCTTTTCCTAGGCACGGAAATGCCTCTTACCCAGACCCAGCATGGCTGAGTCTGAGGGCTCCTGGGACTGAGGCTGCCTTAACCCAGGAAGGTGCAATTGTTTCATCAGGAACCACTGCTCCCTCAGTGCAAGCCTGAAGACTGGCCTACCGACCTCCCTTCTATACAGACCCACAATACAGACCCACAAGTTCTCACATTTGGTAGGTTCATGATCCTGGGGCTAAGTACGTAAACAGCATCACTGATGGCTGTGGGTATTTGTAACACTAGAGTTGTGCACTGCAGTCACCAAGGCCAGGGCCTCTGGCTTCCTGGGACCTCAGATTTCTGGGTCAGAAGCTAATGCTCCACAGAGAACCAGAGCCTGGGAAGGGTTAAAGTGGCGTTGCCTAGCGGTCAAGACCAGGAACTTCAATAATAGCCAGATCTGAGTTTCAGCCCCATCTGTGTGACTCCGGAAAAGTCACTTTACCTCTCTGAGCCCTGGCTTCCTCTTCTGTTAAATGGGTTGATGTGAGGCTTAAATGAGGTCGTGCATATAAAGCTCTTAACAAATAGTTCTTCATATACAATATCCATTCAACAAGTGTTCACTGATATTATTATTAAGGATAATCTGGAAAAGATCTCAATTTCTATCAAGATCCCTGACTCAATAATCCTATTCCTGGGAATCCTTAAGAACATCATAATTTAAATAAGTAAAAAGAAATGTGTATAAATGCAATCACTGTAGCATTATTTACAACAGCAAAAACTGCAAGCAACTGAAAGGTCCTTCAATAAGGGAATCTTAAATAAATTATAATGTATTAATTCAATGGAATAAACAGCAGCCTTTAAAAATGATAAAGAGGACACTAGAGAGCACCACTGAAAATATTTACAAAATAAAGTTTAAAAGCAGCAAATAGAATGGTGATGACTACCACTGTAGTCCCCAACTTATGACATATCCAAGTTACAACAAACCACACTTACCACCATCTGGTATTTTTTTTTTTGTACTTCTTAACGTAATATGTATGTATGCATTAAAATATATCTGTAAGTTTATATGCAATGTTTCCAACCCCCAAAATAAAGACTGGATTTATAAAGATACTGATAATAAAAGGCAATAATAATAAAAACTAAAAATAAAAATGAGGTATTCAACTTACGTCAGAACTGACTTACGAAGGAGTCATTGGAAAGGAACTCCATCGTATGTCGGGGACTATCTGTACATAACAATATGTATACACAAGCATACAAATGAGGACAACATGGGGAAATGAGAATATATTTGTGCTGAATTCTGGCAGTGTGGGTATTTTACTTTTAAAATTAACAAGAAATTGTTTTTTAAGACTAAGGCATGACTTAAATGTGCAACTTTTTTGAGCCAGTAATTAAAAATACTTCTAAGAATTTATCCCAACAAAATAATTAAGTCTTCTCAAAAATTTATCCATAAGTTCATCAGAATATTTTTGAAATAGCAAAAAAAAAAAAAAGAAAAAACAGCTAAACGCTCAACCAAGGATTAGTTAAATAAATTATGTTAAGTCTATATGACTGAACACTAAATAGTCATACAGTCACTGAACACAGTATTACTGACATATAAAATCTCAAGGTATACTGGTCAAAGTCTCTGCCTCTGAGAATTGAAACTCCAGGAGGGCAGGACTCTTTGCTATGTTATATCTATCACCAGGGCTAGAATAATGCCCAGCACATAGAAGGCACTTAATAAATATTTCTGGAATGAAATTTTAAAAGGGGGTTAAAAATATTGTAAAAAATAAATAAATAAATACACACACACAAATAGATCTATTATAACATTTCTATGTGTCTATATATAATTACAGACTGATGGAAAAGAAGAAAATAGACCAAAACGTTTCCAGTGATTATCTCTGGATGCTATGACTATGATTTTTTTTCCCCCTGCTTTTCCTTTCTGTATTTTACAAATTTTCCTTTACTTTTATAATCAGGGAGAAAAAAAAGGGGCCAAGAAGGAAATTTCTAAAGCCATGAGCTCATTTCTAGAAGCTTCTTCTAGAATGTTCCTTACCCCTCTGTTCTCTGGCTCTGGCCTCTGTCCCTGAGGACGGGGAGGGGTCTTCTCTCTGAAACGGAAATGGTGTAAATAAATTACAATCTGCGTTGAGCTGCTCCCTGAATGGCCAGGGGCTCTTCATCACCAGCTCAGGGTCGCTCTATCTTTGGGCATACCCTCCTTCCCGACCAGCACTGGGTCCACACAAACTTATGCTGACTTAAACCAAATGCTAACTCTTCATTCTGTCTGCAATTGTTTTTCTCAATTGTATAGAAAACCAGGAAAAATCAGCTTGTTACGAGATGTTCATCAGACTGCGCTGCAGCCTACACCTCTCCCAGACAGCCTGACACAGGCTGGTTATGACAGCTTTTCTGGTCCTGTGTGATAACAGGGGTCATGGAGGCAAAGATGTCAGAAATCCCAAATCCAAACTGAAACAGAGGGTAGTCTATCAGCTGAGAGGGCTGAAATTCAGGGTCCCTCTGCTCTACCACTATCTAACTTTAGCTTTACCTCCCACTACGCATGGGCAAATACCCCACACTATATTTTTTGCCTCTGGGTCTCAGCCTCCCATCACTCATTCCGCAAATACTGGACTGAGGGCTTGTTACACATAGTTAGGCAAGATGCTGCAAATACTAAGACAATACACACAGACCCTACTCTTGAGGTGTTCATGGTTTAGGGGGGATATAGAGCAAATGGCAACATAGTGTGGGGAGAGATTTCTTTAATAGCGGTCTGAAGGAAGCCTGGTGGGAACACAGGTGACAACAACTAACGTGCAGAAGAGAGAAGGCGGAGTGGGATGAGCAGGAATGGGAAGGATGGAAAAGACAAGAAAGAGCAAATACGAAGACTCATCAATGTGAAAGGGTAAGTCTCCTTAAGAGAAGTCTGGCATACAGAGTATGCTGGGGTGGTGTGGGGGAAGGTAAGAGATGCTGGAGAGGCTGGCAAGTGCCAAACCATGAGGCACCCTCAGCGCCTGTACTGGTAGAATGCTGGACCCACTCACACTTTCATTTCTAGAAATCCTAAACGCCACAAAGCCTCCTAGAGCCCCATCACTTTGTATACCTTGTACTCCACAAAGCCTTTCAGAACACTTTGTACACCTCCTTCACTGGTGCAGCAACCCTGCTCCCTGGAGACTCTCCTATTGCACATGCCGTTTCCCAGTTTCCCCTTCACAGCACTTTGCACACTTGGAATTGTGACGTCTTATATATCGCTGGGTCCCTGGCCCAGCACAGGATTGCTCGCTGGTACACACTCAGTGGATATCTCTATTACAGCTCAGCAAGTGGCTCCCTCCCCTCCAGGCTGGCTGCCATCTGGAGTCTAGCTGCCTCAGAACTGAGTGCTCAGCCAGCCCTTGGTAAAGGAGGTTATTCAGTGGAACTGAATTCACACCCAAGGGGAGAAGTGGGTATGAGAGAGGCCCCAAGTCCTCACCTGGGGTCCTGCTGCCCAGTGCTGCCCCGGCCGTAGAGCGGGATGACCTTATCTCGGCTGATGCCGGCTTTGCAAACAGGACACACCTGTCTGTTAGGTCTAGTCTCCAACCACTGCAAGCAGGAGAGAAATACACATGAATGGCTCGAGGTCAGTCAGAGGTAGGCTAGGTGACAGAGCTGGTTGAGAGGAGGGCCAGGGGCCTCAAACCAGGAAACACCAGCATGACCAGGGAATACCTCAAGGAATCGCCTCTCTTTGATTCCTGCTCCTGGCACTCAATAAATATTTGTAAGTGGGGAAAACAAAATTGCCTTTAAATACCATCACAATTAAACAGGCTTCTTCATGCTTTGTCTCTCTGTAGGTGCTCCCAGCAATACAACAAGAAAGAACCACAACCCTGGGGCTACAGCAAGGGGTCTGAGAGACCCAGTCTCAGCTGCTGGTGCAGGTGTAATGAACTTTAAATCTCTACCTTCTCTGATGGATCAATTGTACTATCAGAGTAGTCAGTTTTTTTCTTTCTGTGATCTCCTCATTTTCCCGGTGATGTAATATGTGCTGAAGGATAGACCTTGCTCATCTTCTTAAATTTGCTTAATGTTTTTTATGTACTTTCACTGATTTTTAAATTTAAATATTTCTTTCAATATTAAAAACCCCAGAGTCCTATTTTGGGTTTCTCAGGCCTTTTCACCGGTTACATTAAAAATTTTTAACTTTCTTAAAAACAAAAATTAAAAAAAAAAAACAAAAACATTACCTGTAATGTCTTTATAAAGGAGCCTTGGCAGCGCAATGGTTAAGCACATGGCTGCTAACTAAAAGGTTGGTGGTTTGAACATACCCAGTGGCTCCATGGGAAAAAGACGTGGCGATCTGCTTCTGTAAGGATTACCACCTAGCAAATCCTATGGGGCAGTTTTACTGTCATATGTGGTCACTATGAGTCAAAATCCACTCGACAGCACCTAACAACATCTTTACAGACATTAAATAATTTTATGTGTGTGTGTGTGCACATGTATGTGTGTATGTGTGTATATGTATATATGTATATGTATGCTATTGATGTTAGGTGCCATCTGACTCATGGTGACCCCATGTATGCAGAGTACAACTGCTCCACAGGGTTTTCTAGGCTGTGACCTTTTGGAAGCAGATCACCAGGCCTGTCTCTCAAGGCACCTCTGGGTGGGTTCAAACCGCCAACCTTTCGGACAGTAGTTGAGTGCTTAACCGTTTCTGCCACCAGGGACTCCATATATATGTACGTACATATGTCTCAACATTTATCTTAGAACGTAAATTTCATCTTTAGTCCAATGATCTGAGGCTTATAAAACGTGAATCTAAGACCTCAGGGCTATGGCAGCATTTAATTTTATATTCTACTTCGCTTATCTTATAATTGACATGTCCAAAATCTACGCGTTATATGCACTTCATAAACTCATAGCCAGTGTGGTCTATCAGGCTCCACTTGGGTCCGAATATGAGTGCCTCCCTGTTCCCCTTTCTTCTCCCATCCAGATGCTGAGGCTCAGAGGTCTGAAACTTCTGTCTTCCCCCCACATTGCTAAACCACCCATGAGTATGGGGCTCTGTATCACCAAGCAGGAGCCTGGGTCTTGGTGAATACTAACTGGTTTGCATAATAATCTAAAGCCGGGAAAACAGACTTGTTCTTCTCACGAAAGCTCTTTGTTAATACCAAAAAGTCTCCCTAACATTTTCAAGACCTTTGGGGGTGAGAGAGTATGATATAATAGGAGATAGTCTTTAGAGAATCTCACAAACAGAAAAGACCTAACATATCATCAAACTCAATGCAGTTAACAAATGAGGGATTGAGATCTAGAGAGGTGGTGGCCTGCAAAGCCACAAAGGCCATCAGTGGCTGAGTCAGGACCATCTAGGGTACCACCAACCAAACTAAACCAATTATCGAGTTAATTCTGACTCATAGCAATCCTATGAGACAGAGCAGAACTGCCCCATAGGGTTTCCAAGGCTGTAATCTTTTTTTTTTTTTAATTGTTGTGCTTTAAGTGAAAGTTTACAATTCAAGTTAGTCTCTCATACAAAAATTTATACAATAAACATTGATTTGTGACCCTAGTTGTTCTCCCTATACTGTGACAGCACACTCTTCCTTTCCATCCTGGATTTCCCGTGTCCATTCAACCAGCTCCTGACCTTCTCTGCCTTCTCATCTCACCTCTGGACAGGAGCTGCCCATTTAGTCTCATGTATCTGCTTGAGCTAAGAAGCACACTCTTCACAAGTATCATTTTATGTCATATAGTCCAGTCTAATCTTTGTCTGAAGAGTTGGCTTCAGGAATGGTTTTAGCTTTGGGGTGACAGAGAGTCCGGGGGACATGTCTTCCGGGGTCCCTCCAGTCTCAAATAAACCATTAAGTCTGTTCTTTTTACATGAATTTGAGTTCTGCACCCCACTTTTCTCCTGCTCCATCAGGGACTCTCTGTTGTATTCCCTGTCAGGGCGGTCACTGTGGTAGTCCAAGGCTGTAATCTTTATGGAAGCAGACTGCCACATCTTTCTCCCACAGAGCAGCTGGTGGGTTCAAAACACTGACCCTTTGGGATAACAGCTGAGCGCTAACCACTTCGCAACCAGCACTCCTTCTAGGGTGCCACACTGGCCCCTTCTTTCATCAAGTGTCTGTCAGTGGGCAGATGTGTAAGAGGATTGAAGGCGAAGTAAGCAAATGAGCCCACAAGCAGGGGAGATTGCAGCTTCTGACTGCACTCTCCCGAGACTAGGGGTGCATTGTGCAACCCTAGCTGATGAAAGACAAAGTAAAATAAAATCCATCTTACCTGATGTAAACACGGCCAACTGTCAGAGTCCCCAGGGCAATCAGTCAGCAAGGAGAAAAAGGGGGAAAGTAAGAAAAATGCTTTCATTAGCAGAAACACTGACAGTGGGGTTAGGACAGCAGAATGGGAAAACAGGGTAAAAGTGTGGATATTGCAACCCGCCTTGGGGAGTTAGCTCCTCTCCTGGAGTCAACCTCACTGAGGCTCTGTGAGGATAACGGGTGTCAAAAATTAGAAGTGTGAAAGGCAAAATTGGACTAAAATCACAGGAAATATGAGGTAATGGAAACAAGGTCCCAGTCTCCACTCTTGGGATCCTACTATACCTAGGGACCCCAAGCCCCAGGCCATCTCACATCTTGCTTCCCTACACAGTCACCTTTGGGAGGTTACAGCCTCTGAAGGAATCCAATAAAAACTAATGACCCTCTGTGCAGAGATTCATGGGTGTATTCTCATGTGTACGCATGCAATTTTACTCTCGATTTCAGTGGATTCACAGCCTCACGAGGGATGTGTGGACGGCCAGGCAGTCCAGATCCAGTTTAACAGGCAGTCCAGATCCAGTTTAACAAAGTCTTCAGGCTGTCCTCATCTTTGAGAATGCTACAGGCAGGAATGAGCTCAGAAGGTTGGGTCTACTCTAAAAATTTCGTTATGTAATGGGAAAGATGGAGATGCTAACTTTGGCTCAGTGAATTACACCCCAGGGATTGCTACCCAATCTCTCATTTCTCCCAACTTCCAGTTCACTGCCCTTTCTACCACTCAGCACTGCATACAACAAATGACACAGATTTGCAAGACCTATAATATCTCCTACTATGTGCCAAGACAGTACAAAATGTAGATATGGTTTCTCTCCCTCACATAACACGCATCTTCTTTTCTAGCTGAATAAAATTTAGACTCAGAGGATGGTTCCTTTCCACAGAAGTTTAGCCTCACACACAAATCAGATACACAATCTCCCTAGACAGAACGGACACCTGACATCTAGCTCCAACATTAACCTTGCATCACTATTCCAAGCTGAGCTAAGGGCACCCCAAACCATGGCAGATCTCCACTGGCAAATTCCCCCAGAGGCTGTAGGGAAGAAGTGGAGGTGACTGAATGGCACTCATGGAACTCTCAAGGTTATTTATAACAATGGTAGAGACTGGTACTCTCTGGGTTGTAACAATGGTAGTGATTTCTCCCACTTATCAAGCACTTACTATGTGCCAGGCTGTGACTGAATAGCTTTTCATTTGCTAATGACACTGAATGGTCACATTAACCTATGAGCAGGTACAATTATCTCCATTTTATAAATGAAGAAACTGAGGTGCAGAGAGGCTAGCAGATTGGTCCAGGGACTAGAAATGTCTGTTTCATTTTACAGTCTGTGTTCTTCCCAATGGTACCTCTTCCTATCTTTGTTCTTAACTTTGCCACTCATTTCAAGTCCTGGTTTTATGATATCCCAGAGCATCTCTAACTTTTAGGATGGGGCTGATCACAACATCTCTGCTTAAAATTTAATGATTAGGGCAAGGGCCTCTAGGACAAAAATCACTGCCCTATTCTATTCACTCATCAATAAATTTACCTTTTATCTTTTACATTGTTGCCAGAGTAAACTTCTGCCTCGGGGTGATACACACCCTTTGCCTTACCCAAACCCACTCTTCAAGGGCCAGCTCAAAATCTCAAGAGAAAAAATAAAATCTCAACATTCACCTGGATTCCCAAGAGTCAGCAGGGGCCTCTGTAATCATCAAAACTGGCATGGACATTGACTGTGTCCTTTCATTTTGATATACATAAAATCTAGTAGCAATTATTATGATCACTGAGAACATACCATATTTACTGTGTGCTACCTGCTCTTCTAAGCCTTTTACATATGTCAAGTTACTTAATACTCACAAACCACCCTGTCAAACGAGGCACAGAGTGTGTAAGCACCTTGCCCAAGGTTCTCGAGTAAGGAAGGGGCAGGCTCAGGATTCAGGAGGAGGCAGCCTGTCTCCACAGTCCCTGCTCACAACCACTATCGGCTTCTCTGCTCAGCACATCAAGTGGCATGCAGGAACTGCTCACTTACTACATGAATGTTATTTAGAAAGGGGAATATGGAGCCCAGGGTGGGGACACAATTTGCCTAAGGTCACCCAGCTTAGGCCTGAGGATGTTTGGACCCAAAGTGAGCTGGAGGCCTTCTGCTCCAAAGCTGCCTAGGGCACAGGCTTTCTAAACTTGGCAAAGTACGCTCTGGGGCGGCGGCAGGGGTACTGACCAGAAGAGGTGGCCACATAGGCTAATGACGGCGTCCTTGGCTGTGTCCAGGCAGATGTTGCACTCGAAAGTGCTGTCCTGCCCTGCGCTCTCGCCAGCACCATTGCTGCTCCCACTGGGCCCCCCTGCACTGGAGTTCTCAGGCGACGTGGAGGCTGAAGGCCCCTTGCTCGCCATCCTTGGCTGTCAGCAAAGCTCTGAGGTGAAGAGTCTCTCCAGGAATCTTCAGGAAATCCTGAAAGGCAGATAGCCCTCAACTGCCCATTTCTGTAGCCCACTCCTCCCAGCTTCCATGCCAATACTCCCACCTCTTGGCTCCAGAAGCCCAGACTATGACTGAATCTCTAAGCAGACTTCCTGGAGGCTGCAGAGGAGGATAGCTGTGGGGCACTCGCTAGAGGGGCAATGACTCAGAAACTTCCCGTGAACATGGCCCAAAGTGTACCATACAAATACTCAAACTGCACAAATACATAGTAGCCTCCAGATGGCTCTCCATAGAAACCAGGACCCTGTCTTGCTTGCCTTTACATTCTCCTGTGATAACCATCCGCGGTGGTAAGTATATGCTCAATCACATTGAATGTACAGGCTATGATCCGGCCCTCTATAGGTAGGCGAATCTGCTCAGGCCAGAAGCTTATGATTGGTATGTGCCCAATTATAAAGAAAATCCTGTAATGATGAAAGGTCAGGACTGGGAAGGACCAGAAAGGTCACCTTGCCCAGTGTCTTCTACACTTCAATCTTTTGTGTTTCCCCTTCTGCCATGTCAGAATGTCACCTACTTTATTTTGTTTAAATATATCAACCTTTTAGCCTCAATACATTTAAAGAAGAAGCTTATGATACTGCTGTAAATGGAAAATTAGTATTATTCACCATAAGTGAAAGGTAAATATAAAGGCAATGAGTGAAACGCCGTTTATCTTCATATCACCTGGTATCATCTGGCATACTCACACATGCTTTGGGGAAACCTGATCTCATTCAATCTCTTCAGGGAACTGAGGTCTAAGATTGCTCAGCTTGCTGACAGGTATGGAGCTGAGATTGGGACTCCAGATGTCGATCTATATTCAAACAACTGTACAACCAAGATCAAGCTGGCCCCACCGACCACTCTGACCGGGATCACAATAGAGGGTCTCAGATAGAGCGGGAGAAAAATATAGAATGAAATTCAAATTCATAAAAAAGACCAGATCTACTGGCCTGACAGAGATTAGAGGAACCCCCAAGACTATGGCGCCTGGACACTCCTCTAACTCTGAACTGAAGCTACTCCTGAAGTTGACCTTTCAGCCAAAGATTAGACAGGCCTATAAAACAAACAATAACACACGTGAGGAACGTGCTTCTTAGCTCAATCAAGTATACGAGACCAAATGGGCAACACCTGCCCAAAAGCAACAACGAGAAGGCAGGAAGTGATAGTAAAACTGGACGAATGGACACGGGGAGCCCGAGGTGGTAAGGGGGAAAGTGCTGATACACTGCGGGGATTGCAACCAATGTCACAAAACAACTTGTGTATAAATTTTTGAATAAGAAATTAATTCGCTCTGTAAACTTTCACCTAAAGCACAATAAAATTTAAAAAATCAAGCTGGCCACCAAATGCCAGTAGAAACAGCGTTGTTCACGATAGCCTCCAAGTCAGAGAACCTGGCCAGGAGCCAAACAAGGAAGAGAAAGAGACCAGCACCAGCAATATCCAGAAATTTGGGGAGCAGATTATGTCTGAAGGCTCAGCTGGCCAAACTTACCATCTCAGAAATCCCAAGTAGGAATGCTGGCTGGGTACCACAGTCAAAGAACTAGAGCCTTGGATGCTGGCCTCAGCCTAGCCTCCAGCCTGCTAAGTGGTTTAAGGAACCTCCCTTCCCTCTCCAAGCCAATTTCCTCATCTGTAAAATGAAGCATGGGACTAGATGGTCTCCTCAGTGCCCCTCCAGCTGAGATTATGTCGAGTTAGGTCATCTCACCCACCTCCCTCCAAAGCAGGTGGCCCCGTCTCAAGTCTGGGACTCACCAACTGAGTGCGGGGACTACTCTGATTTGAGCTTCCAAAGTATGAGAAGATAAGGACCAAAACGATGCAGTCTTCTCAGACTAAGAAGCCCTCCTTTACACTGCAGACTCAGAGCTTCTGGCGCACGCATGTGGCCTCACCGCAACAGAGCTCAGTGACTGGAGCAGGGAAAGGAGGCCACTCACTGCCACATTTTCACTCAGTTACATCATTTTACGTGATGTCCCAGAAGGGCAGCTAGCTGCCAGCAGCACCAGTGCCTTGCTGGCCTTGCTTCCAAGAACTTCCCCCAACCCGGTACTTCCTTTTCTCCACACAACCATCTGCTCTTGTCTTCTTCTATGACGGAGCTTGCTTCCAAGGGCCCTTGCTCATTGTTCCAGCTAAAGTACCCCAAGTACCCAACTCTAGTACATTTCTTTGTTTAAAAAAACATATCTTTAAAATCAAGATTTAAATGTACAGATATGGAAAGACAACCATAAAAAGCTAGGCTCACTGATCAACCTTAATATTACTAAAAGCGGGACTGACTCCTGATGAGACATAATAGAGAAGTCCACCGCACCACCGATCAAGAGCTCTCGCTTCCAAGCATAGATGCTCACCAAGCTTCTAAAATGAATTACCCATTTCCAGAAAATACGGAGGATAGATAAATGTGTGGAATAACTCTATGAAGCAGACAAATTCAGAACGCAGGACTTTCTACAGGACAAATAACTTAGATGCTTCAAAAAATAAATAGCATGGGCAGTGGGAGTGTGGGGGTCTACAGGGAGTTAAAGACTGAGACTAGAGACTTGGGAGACAGATCAACCATTAGTGGTGTGTGTATGCTGCTAGAACCACTTGCTAAGATGAGTGACAAAAATTGGATTTAGCTTGGATATTAGTTGATATTAATGAATTAAGTTAATTTTGTTGGGCATAATAATGACATTGTATAACATTTAAAAAAATTCTCATCTGTTAGAGATACATACTTATGGGTTTATGAAAGAAATTATAAGATGTTTGGGATTTGCTTTAAAATACTCCAGGGGAAAAACAAAAGTGGAGAGAAAAAAATGGAACAGGCACAACAGAAAGCTGATGGTTGCTGAAGATGCGTGATAAATGGGAGTTCGCTGTACTGGTCTACTTTTGTGTGCTTGAAAATTTCTGTAATAAAGAGTTTTTTAAAAGGAAGGTCAGGTTGCATAAGAGTATGTATATGAACTTATCTGGGTAAAAACAAAGTACGTATATAGGTATGCAGATACATATGCAAAGAAAATTTCTAGACGGCACACACTAAACTATCAACAGTTATTTCTGGGATTATGACGGCTGTGGGACTTTGACTTTTTAAGTTCTTATCCTGTTTTTAACAGGAGCCCTGGTGGCACAGTGATTAAGTGCTCGGTTGCTAACTGAACGGTCGGCGGTTTGAATCCACCGCTGCTCTGCAAGAGAAATGTGGCAATCTGCTTCTGTAGAGATCTACAGCCTTAGAAACCTTAGAGGCAGTTCTACCCTGTCCTATAGGGTTGCTATGAGTTGCAGTCGACACGACAGCAATAGGTTTTATCCTGTTTTAATGTTTTGTAATAAGCGGATACTACTTTTATAAGAACATTTAAAAAAAAAAAGAATGTATATGTTATACTTGTCACAACAATAATAAATACAAATACTAGAAAATATCTAGAAAAATGTGGAAGAACTTGGCAAATTGTTAATAGTTATTATCTCTGTATTATGGGGCCCTGGTGGCATAATGGTTAAGCACTTGGCTGCTAACCAAATGGTTACTGGTTCCAACCCATCAGTTGCTCCATGGGAGAAAGATGTGGCAGTTTGCTTCTGTAAAGATGAGGCCTTGGAAGCTCTATGGGACAGTTTTACTCTGTGCTATAGGGTCGCTCTAAGTTGGAATCAACTCAACAGCAACAAGTTTGGTTGTTTTGGATCTCTGTATTGGTGGGAGGATGACCTGTACTTTCTAAGTCCTTTATGTTTATAATACTGATATTTTTACATGTATTACTTTTGAAATCAGACAAAATAGTACATAATGTTTTAAAAAATCTTCCTCCAATTTTTCAGTTTTCTTCAATCCTGAAAAACTCTCAGTTCAAGTCCTGACCCCACCATTGACTAGCCATGTATCCCTGGATGTCTCTTGATGGTTGAATTTCTCTTCTCACCTGAAAGTGAGGCAATTCCTACAGGGCTCCTGAGGTGGTCTTATGACCCACCTGTGGCCTAGAGGCCCCACCTAGGTAGGAGAGCTGTTGTTGCTGGGGAGGTGCTCACACATGTCATCTCCCCTGGTCTGCTGCCCTCCCCATTCCCTGGACCCACCAAGGTTCTGGGAACTGTCCACTAAACACGCGGCAAGACCACAGAATGGGGTCACAGCCTTTAGGGCCCAGCACGACTAGGACAGTGGCCCAGAGGATAGAGGGCCATGAACGGTCTGGTCAGCTCAGGAACTGGACAGGGCAATAGGGAAGCAGGCCCTGAGCATACCTGGGCCACTGTCCAGCAAAAATCTCTCTGGCTGCCCTAATACATGGCCTAAACAGAATACAAACTGTAAGTAACAATGTACAAACACCAGAAGAGAAACTAGATAACTGGGAGCTCCTAAAAATCAAACACTTAAGAAGACCAGACTTAATGGTCTGACTGAGACTGGAGGAACCCCGGAAAGCATGGCCCCTGGATTCTCTATCAGCCCAGAACTAAAACAATTTCCGAGGCCAACTCTTCAGACAGGGATTGGACTAGACTGTGAGACATAAAGCGATACACGTGAAGAATGTGCCTCTTAGCTCAAGCAGATACAAGAGACTAAAAAGGCAGCTTCTCTCCAGAGGTGAGATGGGAAGGCAGAGAGGGTGAGGAGCTGGTTGAATGGACATGGGGAATCAGAGGTGGAAAGGAGGAGTGTGCTGTCATAGTACGGGGAGAGCAATTAGAGTCACATGATAATGTATGTATAAATTTTGTATGGCAAAAATTAAAAAAATAAAACACTTATGTTCATCAAAAGACTTCACCAAACGAGTAAAAAGACAACCTACAGACTGGGAAAAAAATTTTGGCTACAACAAATCCAATCAGAGTCTGAACTCCAAAATCTATAAGACACTGCAAAACTCAACAACAAAAAGACAAATAACCCAATTAAAAAATAGGCAAATGATATG